CATTTATTATCATTTATCATATAATAGCTTATTACGTTTATTATATAATAAATTACGTATTACATTATTTGATATCTTTACTTGCTCGCTCCTGTGGCCATTATATCTGACTCGTTATTGCTTCGCACATAACAAGCTTGACTTCTATATATTATAAGATCAAGAGTCTAAAGAAATGGTCGATTTCAATAATTTGATTTAAAGAATATAAAAATTCAAAGATCGTGATATTCTATAATTATAGATTTAAATCCATAGATCCGCGTAAGAAAAATTCTTTCTCCCTGTGGAATGTTTTTAAGAAATTAACTAATATGTAATTACATAAAGTAAAATCTAGAGCGTCTGGAAAAAATTCGGATTAATATGTGCATCGGATCCAGTTCGTTGAAATTTGTACGAATTTGCAACGGAAGTTGAATTCGGGAACTGTGCTAACCGCAATTATGATTCAATGGGTTTCTTATTCCAAGAAGGGCTTAACCAGCGTTTTATTTTGAACGATCCGTGACCGCTGTGGCCACTCTTTTGCCTAACCGCAATCAAAGCTTATATACACTCATTCAAGCGATTTCGTCACTCGAAAAGACTACTTCACTTTCCATCAATTCGAGACAAGATTAATTTAAAACTCGGTTCTAAATCACGCATTTTACTTATAGGTTTAACATTCTAAAATTGAATATTCTAAAATTGTATGAATTGAATGTTGTTCAATTTTAAGCTCGTGAATCACGAACTGTGTAGAGCTTAGAATCTAAGCTGAAGCTCTCGCGCGACAAATTAGTGTCAAATTTATCTGCGGATAAGTTTCAAAACGGTCGAATAGCCAGACGCAGACTGTTAAAGTTCTCTAAAGTCAGTCTGAGCGCGCGGTTGAGTTTCTTATTCGATGTAATTCATACGTACGAGCGATAATTTAGAGCAGATACAATTTTGCGTCTCTCCCGTCGGAGACGCGTGGACGCTATTATCGTAGAACCGATGTCACGCGGAGAAATTATCTTCTCCGTTCACACGCGGCTTCTCGCTTGTCCAGAGCATGATTGATGATCGCCACGACTGCCCGGTCGGTTCGAGGCAGCCGAGATCGTCGGAGCGCCGGAATATCCGGGGTTGGAGCCGCGCCGCCGCGACGACCGTGCCGAACTCTGGAAAAGCCAGCGGGCCGAAGATGACCGCGATTTAGATGAAAATAACCAAGCGGGAGTAATTTTGGCTACGGGTGCTTCGTCGCCAGCGAGCGGAGAGAAACGAGGGACGGCCGATAGTAGGATTCGCCGTCGCGTTCCAGCTGTTTAACCGATTACAGGTGAGCAGAATTCAGAGAGAAAGAAACTTATTAGTTGTTAAAGCCTCTCAAGACGTCTCTCAGTCCGAATATAGTTTTCATCGAAAATAATACATAGAAAATTTACTGAAAATATTGTATAGGAAAATTATGTTCTTTTATCTTGATGCTTGGTATGTTTGGACGCAAAGCATGTTGTTTGATGATAACATTTTTTTAGAAGTTGCCTAAAAGTGTCAAATATTATTATATAAACATAAAAATATATTATTATAAGAAATTATATTAAAATTTATTGTAATTTATTACAAATTTATTTATAGAATGTTTCTTACTACAACAAATTATAATAAACATGTTAGGTATTAAATATTTATTATACGTTAAAATAATGTAGATTGCTAAAAAAGATAACATCATAAGATTTGTGAGCAACTTCCAAGAAAATACACCATTTTCATATTACTTATACGGATATAACACCATATATGTTGCTGCATAATTTATTAATCGTTTTATTTCAACGTATTATGGTATACATAAATACATGTAATGTTCCGTTTTATGTATTTTATAGATTTCTCAAAAATTGTGATTAACCTTTACTTAATAATCTTTAATAATTAATACGACGGACGTTTCCAAATTAAGTTTCTGCAGGAATTAATCGCGCGAGCTGTAAAAATCGATGGACAAAAAGACAGCCTTTTGCACATCATCTGAACACGTTAGAAAGCGTTAGAGCATAATTTCCAGAACCTTTAGAGAGAATTATCTCTCGTGCGTTAAAATGTTTATTAAAAGCAAATTTATTATATTGACTTGTATTATCTTCCAGAAGTTTAATAAATTTTTGAAAGAATTTTGAGCGACTAACACGTTTCAAGTAAGTAAACACGATTCTTTATCAGTCGCTAACAATCTGCACTAGGCGTTCTGTTACGAATGCAGTTCCGCTGATGTAACTATGCGCATGTATATCTCTCGCTACACGAAAGTTCCGTTATCGAGGAATCAAACGAATCGATTTTATGGAAATATGGCGCGCGATAATATCGAATCCACGTGCTATTGCAGACATGATGCAACCGCAATGTAAATCCGCGGGGGGGGGGTAGGGATGGTACGTCGCACTTCGCTTTTCACCTCAACACACAATGCCGTTTTCAAGGATGAATTAATTAACATCGACGAAGAGAGTCATATCATTGCGATCGACGTTACGTTGCGTTACGTGCGGGCATTGCTTGAGACAATGCTTCCGGTGCTCGACGTTGCTTTAATGGAAATTGTGAAATGATAGCGTTACACTGTTAAATCTATAATGTCAAAAACTGATTTATTTAAGTCGCCACTGCTCCTACTTAAGAAATAATTATTTTTAACTAAAACAATATAGTTATTTTTAAATAAAACAATGGAATTTAACCTAAATTTGGGTTAAATTTGAACTGTTTGTTTAACTCCATTGTTGTAGTAGAAAAGAACTATTTATTAAGTAAGAGCAGTGGCGACTTAAATAAGGTTCAGTTTGACACTATAGATTTAACAGTGTACACGTGTAGCTGTGTTTTAATCCAAATCCGTTTAAATCTAAATTTTATCGAAATTAAAATCGTATCACGGAAAGAACAATTTTGCTAAATCCAGATCTGAAAATAATTTTTGTTTAATAATCAAAATAATTTTGTGCGAAAGTCAAAATGATTGCTAGAATATTAAAACGTTTTATAGCAATACTTATCAGTTTTAACATTCCAACAAATTATTTTGATGATCCAACAAAAAATTATTTTCAGATCTGTTTTTAACAACATTTTTAGATCTTTCAACAAAATCATTCTTTCCGTGTGTCGATTTTCGAAATCAACGATCCCCTCGATAACCGATTTCGATTCGCGTAAAAGAGTATAAGGTACTCAGAAATGAAAGATCATTTCCCTTAAGATTATCGTGAAGCATCGTGACGATCCGTCGGTATCTTCGTATAGGCGAGAGACATCACCTCGCGCGTTCGCGTGAATCGTAACTCGAAGGCGAGAGTCGTTCGTTAACGGGTTCATTACCGTCGACTATATACGAATTGTTTTCATTCATCGGCCCCTGCTCGCGTCACCTGGGTAGCGTGTCCTGAATGAACACACCTGCGCGCGAAGCGACTCGTAAGGATCCCGATCCTCGAGTCTCGAGTCTCCACCTTGCGATGACAGGAGGAGGAGTGGAGGTCTTTTAACTCGCGATTATACAATGGAATTTAATATACAGGGTGATTATAATGTTATATGACTTTAAATTTTCGTTTCAACGATAAAATTGATTTATAAAAAAACATTAGAATTGCAATTGGCAAACAAAGTTTTGTATGTATCAAGAATGATTTTTATGAGGAATTTTTTCTTAAAGATTGAAAGAGGTAGAAAGAAGGAAAGAAAAGGGATTTATTTCAATTTTACATTTATTCTTAATAATTTCTCAATATGTTTATTTACGTCATTATAGAGAAAAATATAGCAACTATAAAAGATGATTATACACGTTTTTTTTTGTACAATTAATGTATATAATTGTTTAGACGAATGTATATTATAGTTAAATAAACTAAATAGTTTACAGTTGTAATAACTGTGTATATTAATTCTATATATATTGATTTTGTATATCAAACTTGTATAGTTGTCATCTTTATAATTGTTACTAGTCTTTTTCTATGTGTGAGTGTATACTGTACATACAAATCAAGATATGATTCTGAGATTCTGTAAATACGTTTTGCAGTTGATATGTCGAATCACATTAGTCATCCCAGTCTGCGAATCGTCTGAAGTGCGAGGTTTTATTGAATAAACAATAGTTTTAACACAGGGGGCACAACTCTGACACGTGACTCCGTGTGAGAGTTAGTCGGCGGGGCCCGAATTCGACCCTTATCCCGTCTATGCCGCAGTTTTATATTATATAGGTTGAGTGAAGATTTGAAAGTTGTGAGCAATAGAGTGATGAATTGAAAAAAACTCATTTCGGAAACTCGTATTTTAATATTTTTAATATGTCTCAATAGAAAAAAATTCAATTGGCTAGCTGACATAGTGGATAGTGCAGGTCAAGCAATTATCTCTTGTCAACTCTTAAAAAATTGTTTTCATAAAAATTATTCTTAATATATATACTTTATTTGCCAAGTTGCAATTGTAATGTTATTTACAAATTAATTTCGTTATGCATAGAACGGAAGTTGTGACAACTTGAAGATTCTTCAAGATTTGAAGGTATAATACATAATAGACTTTATAATTTTGTCTGTGTTTGAGATAACTTTGACAATCGAAGAGACGATGTGCAAAAGGGCTGTAAGGACTGTATCATATACTGCTCATCTTGTAAGGACTCGATAAGGTCGACGACTACGGTTACATCCATGAAATTACCTACGATATTACCAGCACAAATCCGCATAGCTATATACCGTTGCATTTTCACGCAATTGTGGGCATCGTTCGGAGAAGCTTGTCTCGTGATCGTGTGATTTGTACCAAACGCAATAATGGTCGATCGCAACTTTCCACGTGCCCTTTATATAGAGTCGCGCTTCGTATACAGAATATAATTCCTGCGGTACACGTCGGACGTGATCAGACGAAGACCATGCAAAATCTGCACTTGCAGAATGCAACGTCGGCTGCATGCGTCGTAGCGGCGCGCGTGAAGCGAGATGCTGAAGGAAGTCGGCTGCGGCGGCACCACACCCCCGCCGGGGGACGGGGTCGGCGGCGGCGGCGGCGGGGCGAACGGTCGGCAGATCGGCGTGAGCGAGGGGGGCGCGGAGGCGGCGGTGGTGGCGGTATCGTCGAGGGTGCCCTCGGCTGCGGCGGCTGTGGACGGGAGATCGCCGAGCGCTGGTACCTAAGGGCGGCCGATCGCGCATGGCACTGCGGCTGCCTGCGCTGCTGTCACTGCCGGGTCCCCCTGGCCACCCAGCTTACCTGCTTCGCCAGGGACGGTAACATTTACTGCAAAGAGGATTACTACAGGTTAGTTGAGGTGCACGAGAGTGATGTGTAAAGAAAAATCGCGTCATCTTTTTTTTGGGAAAGAGAAGGAGAACGACGATCGGGAGTTGGAAGTATATTCTCTATAAATATATATTTAAGTATGAGGCTTTCTCATATATTTACCGGAAAATTTTATCATTGCTCTGTCGAAAAAAAAAGATCCACGTATCTCTGAAACTGCATGCGCGTTTCTTATTCACGTTTGTCGTGGTTTCGCGAAAGGAAACGAATCTTGACGAGTCACGTCAAGACATTCCACGACGAATTGGAATTGACGCGTATGGAATCGATGCCAGGATCCGTTAATATATGCACTGCTTTGTATCGATATTTATTGGGACAGCGTTGAATTTACATACAAAAAGCGGGGTCTTCCCCTGCTCTCCAAAACGCCTTCTTCCTTAGACCACACAAAATGTCCACTAATAGTCGTCTCCAAATACACAGCTCTAGTCCTTTATTCAAGAATTGAACCTTGAATTCCACAACTCGGCGCAGCGATATACTCGCAGATAAAAAATGCGGGGAGTTATAAAAAGACCGAAAAAAGTCCATTTCAAAGGATTAAAGAGATCCTGAAGAGTCTTGCTTATTCTAAGTTATTCTTAAATTAAATTAAGTTATAAGTTATTATTGCATTATAGAAAGACTCAAATTTTAGAGATTTGACATTTAGAAGTTTTGACATTTGTAGCATCGAAATTGACAAAAGAGACTAAAGATTGAAACGCGATTCTCTCTGCTTACACAATCGCGTAAGCAGAGAAATAAATATCGTTCATCATGGAAAATAGCGCGCTTACACGATGACGTCCGACATTTCACGGACGAGGGTGGAATGAAAGGCCGGCTAGAGAGACGAGTTCGTTAGAGCGAGCAGGGGGAGGAATTCAACAGCCGTCCTCCCGCATGCAATATGCAACAACGCGAGCCCTTTGTTTCCGTCTACGCGAATGTGAAACGGTCCGCTTCGATCCCTTGCGAAATTCACCTCAAGCGCGGGAATTCGCAATGCATTCGCCAACGCACGTATTCGCGAAGCGTATAATGTACCGTTATTCTCAACCGTATCCAGTTTTCGCTAACTTTCAGACGAAATTTATAAAATTAGAAGCGCATGCAACGAGATAGAAAAAAAATGCAAATCACTTTGAGATTTTTTTTAACATTTCGATCAAATCATCAATCAATTTATAGTATCAACGAAGAAGAATAAAATAAATAATACATAACAAGTTTAAAAGTGCACGCGTGAGAAAAATTCCGAAATTTGGAAATCCGTTAAATTGTGGAAATTCTCAAATACTAAAATTCTCTACGGTATCTCATTAAATAATCTGACAAGAAGCACATCACAATATTTTGTAAACGTACATAAAAATATAAAAGCTTTATCTAAAACATTTTTTATGTATCTTACCTTTTAATGATAATTGCTTAATAATATAAATTAAATATAAGCGTCAGTTTTGATTGTTTCGATTTCTAAATTTCAAAATGGATTCATATAAAAAAATACTTCTTAAATTTTTGTGTTTGACAACATATGCAATATTTCAAGGAAAATCAAGTCGATTTCAGTTGTAGTATATGTTTCTCATAAGATAAGTCTTCGATAATATAACGACTAGAGATATTAAAGAAGTTTGGTCACATTTCGCGACTGTGGAATTCGAAGATCCGCACGCCCTTTTAACCGTTCAACTGTGGGATAACCCTTTAACTGTTTTGATTGCAGACTATTCGCGGTGCCGCGGTGCTCCCGCTGCCGGGCCGGCATTTCCGCCTCGGAGCTGGTGATGCGAGCGCGCGACCTGGTGTATCATGTGGCGTGTTTCACTTGCGCCTCGTGCGGCACCCCGCTGAACAAAGGCGATCATTTCGGCCAGCGGGACGGACTGGTGTATTGTAGGTGAGAAACAGGAGTGTCTGATCATTACTATCCTTCAAAGGCCGTCTCTCCTTGTTATCAACGAGTTCGATGACGAGGTTGACAGGAGCACGAGGCGCTTTGTCGCCACCGAGTCATTCCCTACCCTCCCCCCACTCTTCGCTCCCTCTTGATCTCCCCTACCGTCACCGCTAATGACGGTCGTTGAGTGCTAATGACGGTCATCGGAACGGACGGATTCGATCTCGGGTTCCCGACGAAGACGACCGCGACGACAGATACCGCGAGGCATGAGAATGAGAACATTTATGACTGTCATGATTTATATATGTATATATGTATTCCGTGATCTCTTTACACGTTTACGAAATGAAACGGATATATATATATATACATATATATATATATATATCTTACAAGATTGTGCGTGGAATTTTACGACGATCAAGGGAGATCTCCCGCAGTCCCAACGATATAGAGAGATATAAAGAGATTTTATCCGAGGAACGAGGAAATCAGAAATGTCTCGATGAACACCCAATAATTTGCCGTTGATCACATCTCTCGTTAATCGACTTATCCCTCGATATGCTAACGATAATCCCTCCGTCACCCGTTAAATCCCGCTCTCCTCCCCTCCCCACCCCACCTCCCTCCTCCGCATGGTATATCAGGAGTCGAACTCGTTCATCGAACTCGAAACGTATAACGCGGAGGTCAGGTCGTCTATCGACTACTTGACAGAGAGGTTGACGACTGACGAGCACGTCGCTCCCAAGACCACACTACGAGTTGCTGTGCTGCGCCGGCGATTACGGGGGTGTCGCCGCCGGCGGTATCGAGGACCTCGGCTCGCCGGGGGTGTCGCCGCTGCCGGCCTACTACGAGCAGAGCCCGATCACCGCTTCCGGCGCGGTGCAGAAGGGCCGGCCGCGGAAGCGGAAGCTGTCGGAGGTCACCGGCTCCGAGCTTCCCGTCACGATGAGACTGGCCGCCGGAGCGCTCGGTGAGTCAAGCCAATGTATGTTCCGCAATCTTGTATAACCGATCGTGAAACGATCTTCTTTACGATTACACTTTCGTTTTGTCCGCTCCCTTCCTTCCTCCCCTCGAGTCACCCCCCCGTTAGACTCTTCAGTTTGGCACTCGTTCCTTTTGTATGCACTCGTGGTGCCAGACTCTCGCTCTCTTTTCTCTCCCACTCGCATTCTCTCTTTCTCTCTTTCCGATCTCTCTTTATTCTTATGCTGTTATTCTCTTTATTCCACGCTTCAGCAAACGAGTTAATCGGTGGAGCATTGCATTATTTACCGAGCAACTGGGTATAATGGGGCGTACCTTCGTGCAAACATTTGCTCGGGCCTTCGCAGGAATCGCAGATGTTATTTCATTTCGTCCGGCGCGATTATTTGGCTCGTTAACTGGAGCGCATTCGACATCGGCGAGCGGTGGGGGAATCTTTGATGAAAATCTCGCGCGCTACGCAGATGTCTAATTGCTCGACGATTCAGTATCTCGGTGTCGCTGACAAGAAAGGCTTATCGTGATCTCCGAGGCACTCGATTTCGTCCGGTTGTAATCTTTTCTTCCTTCCTTCGCGTGGATAACAAATGATAGTGAAGTTATACAGCGCGATGAAAATCACTGAATATATAGATATATCGTGTGCGTGTTCCTTGAAATCCTCAAAAATTTTTGGACTTGACACCGAGATAAATATGTACAATATACGGGCGTTGGAGACGAAAGAGAGAAAGCGAAGAATGCAAAAAGGACAAGCAATATGAATGGATCTCTACTGTGCGAGAATTACAGTTTCGCGAATCTTGAAAGATTACCTTGAGTTAGACTGCACATGTAAGTTTATTGTCCCAGCAAACACAGATTATAAGTGCAATGTTGCAATATAATTATAACATTCCAGCTATATTGCAGAAATGTTACAATATCGCTGTAATATATAGTTATAATCTGTGTTTATTGCTGGGGTCGCATCATTCACGATCTCAATGAAACGGACGGGGCGCGGCGGCTCGATTCGGTAGGAATAGAAAAATGTCGATTCCTCGCTCGACTTGTGTCACTTGCAAGTCGACCGGTGCGCGCATTCGCGTATTCGATGTGATTTCCATCGGATTTTACGATCGTTTCGGCTTCGGGCGCAAGTCAAGATGGCGACCGACCGACCGACCGACCGACCGGTGCAGCGCGTGATTCCCCAGTTATTTTATAATCGACGAGAGCGAGGATCACTCTCCCCCGGAGACTATACCGACCGGAATTTACGACCAACAGCCATAAAATCGTCCATGAAGCGTCCCTGCGTGCGTGGCGACGGGTGGGAACAGCCGGCCTGGCAGAGAGAGAGAGAGAGACCCCACTCGCGGTGTTTTATTGTCTTTATATATAATTGGGACAGTTTTTGCGAAAGGGACACGCCGACGACAGGAGCGATTCCGATGGCGAGAGAGACGCCGAGCGACCGACCGACGGTGGATCGCGGCGGCACTCCGCTGCTCGCGCGTAATAGCGCAGAAGCAAGAAGACGATGATCCGGCTAGTCCTATATAAGCTGCGAGGACATACCACATCTAATGCCCGACACCAGCTGACGTGTTACGCTAAACGGAAAATTAAAGTTATCAAAGCGACTTATTGCTAAGAATTTGAGGCTTTTTATTTCCTTAAACTTTCTCTATTTTATATATAGGTATGAAGATAAATTTCCTGAGTAAAGAATACATACTCTCTTGGCTGAATATACCTAACAGTCTGACATCAGTTTTAATTTGACTAACATGACATAAAAATCGAACCAGCTTTGTACATTAAATGTTGAATGTATATAATCGATATTGGTATAAACGATTTATCGCGATTATTGTCTTGCATAAAGATGATTTCTTTAGCGAAAACGTTGACATATATATTCCTTGCGGCGCGTTTTATGGTCTACCTTGAAATTAAGAAGATATTGTCCTTTCTTGCGAGGGAAGGACACACGCGAGCCCTGGGAAGCTTCTCTCTCCCGCCCGAGGCGGCCTAGCGGAAGGAGGGGTGACAGGGCTAGATTTGGCGGTTTAAGAATGAGATTACAATTTGTCAGGGCGAGTTAGAAGCCAAAATTGCCGAGGCTGAGGACCGAGCGTCTGATGATGGAACGAGAAAAAGAGTGAGAGAGAGAGAGAGAGAGAGAGAGAGGGAGAGAGAGAGAGAGATTCCGATGCCGGCGGCGGCGCGGCAAGAAACTTGCGCAGGCGGCATTATAGCGCTCCGGCCGGCCATTCTGCTGGCAGCGGCCACGCATTGGCCGCGGCAGCATTCTTTTCCGAGCAGATCGGCCAATCGATGCATCTCCCGGTGCCGATACCTATCTGTCACTGTCCGCCGGTGCCCGCAGCCGTTCCTCTTTCTGCAGAGACAGAAAGGCCCCGCCGGAGTCGAAAGACGCGCTGGGAAAGTCCTAATTTCGATTCGACTCGTGTCGTAAAATCACGCCGAAACTGGTCTTCCTTTCTCTCCTCCTTTTCTTGATTTAACTGCAGCGTTTACTTTTAAATGCAAAACAAAATTTGTATGTATTTAGCTTTTCGGTGGGACGGCAAAATTTTTTCCTCTTGAATATTATAGACTCGTTTCGCGAGAAATAAATCTCCGGGGAAATTGCGGAAAGAGAGTTTATTACAACAGAGGCGAGGTTTTGACTATACATGGAAAAAGTGTCTTAATCGATCGATTTGCGATCGCGCCACGCCGCGCGAATTTAATTGAATTACGACGGAAGAAAATGAAGAGGCGCGGAAAGGGAGAGAGGCGAGTCGCCGGAAGGAGCTGGACGAGCGCGTCGTGCGCGGTTGTGTGCGCGGTTGCAGTTGTTGCGCGCCGGCGGAGCGGAGGAACGCATCCAATAAATAAGACGACGAGGGTAACCATTGAATTCAATCGGGAGAAGAACGGGTTCCAGTCGACGAGGCGCGGGCACACGGGGCGTTCAGGGGGGAGGAGGAGGGAAGGGGGATCCCAGAAGTAAATCCCCCGAGCACGTATGCGCCATTACTGTTTATTGTTCCGAACTTCCATTCCCAACGGATGGCGATCTCATCGGCGAGTTCGCCAACGGGAGGAAAGAGATAGAGAGAGAGAGAGAGAGAGAGAGAGAAAGAGAGAGAGAGAATGAGAAGAGAGGAGAAATGGGAGAAAAACCGTTTTCGCGAATGGTCCCGCGGCGCGCCTTCGGAATTCGTTTTCTCGTCGAGGTGAACGACACGCGACATTTTGTATTCCTTTTTTTCTTCTGGAGATGATTCGCAAAGCACAGTTACGTTCGGAAGGGACAGTAGCGGAAGGGACGGCGAAAAGGGGTCGACTTCTCTCCGACCTCACGGAGGCTAACATCCTTCTAAAGTCGTATATGCTGTCCGATCGACGCGGACAGCACGTGAATTGAAGGAAGAAGTATTGCGAAATAAAGTACGAGTAGATTCGAGATGAAATATCAGGTTGTCGCGAAAGTCGATTTGATTTTTACAAAATGTCAATAATTCTTAGAACGGAAAGAAGGTATCTCACGATATTGAAATATATCCGACATTACGATTGTTTATTGATAGTTGAAAACCTAAAGTTTTGAAATTTCTCAGAGCCTTACGATTTTTTTTCGTGTATCTAGGGATTTTAGAAATTTCAAATTTTCATAAATTCATTTTTTTCTAATTTTGAGGCTTGCGATTTGTCATGTGCACATTTAAAGAAAAACACAATGGTAGCAATTATGAACTATAAATGATTCTTATATAAATTTTATGTGCAGAATTATTGTACATAGTTGAATAAACTATTTTATAGTTGCAATATACATTAATTATACATATAAAACTTGTCACTTTTATAATTGCCTGCACTATCTATTTTTTTTTTGAGTGCACAAATAAAAAGGATTCGATAATTTTAAAACGCAATGTGTTATCCTGCCGTCATTTTTTCCTCCTCTATCGCATGTCGCTCGCGCGCGACGTCGATGGTCGAAAACGCGAAACTGAAAAAGGGAAAGAAAGGAGAAACTTTCTAGCGGACGTCGCCGTTGCAGAACTGCTGCATCCTACGGAGCTGTCCTCGTCGATGGAGTCGCTGGCCGCGTACGACGCGTCCGTGGGCTCCCCGGGACCGGTGCACCAGAACCAGCGGACGAAGCGTATGCGCACCAGTTTTAAGCACCACCAGTTGCGAACCATGAAGAATTACTTCGCCATAAATCAAAATCCGGACGCCAAGGATCTCAAGCAGCTCGCGCAAAAGACCGGCCTGTCGAAAAGGGTATTACAGGTACGAGTTCTTCCGTTTGTACCAGAATGTTTATGAAAAGGCAGCTATTACTGACGATCACTTTTCTCCTAATTTTTTTTTAACCGCAAGAATTAACGTACTCTCTATAAATTTTCTGGAGTGAATCTCATTCCAAAAGAGTGAAAATTTTCTGGAGTGAATCTCACTCCAAAAGATTGAAAATATTGCCACTCGGCCACTTGAGTGGCAGTATTTTTACTCTTTTGGAGTGAGATTCACTCCAGAAAATTTATAGAGAGTACGTTAATTCTTGCGGTTAAAAGGAAATCAGGAGAAAAGTGATCGTCAGTAACAGCTGCCTTTTAGAAAAAAACAATGGAACGATGTGTTTGAAGAGACGAACGTAAAAATTAACGACAGTTAGTTTTGTGTATATTCTCTAAATTTTCTGGAATGAAAAGAGTAAAAATACTGCCACTCAAGTGGCCGAGTGGCAATATTTTCAATCTTTTGGAGTGAGATTCACTCCAAAAGAGTGAACAGTCACTCCAGAAAATTTAGAGAGTATACACAAAACTAACTGTCGTTAATTTTTACGTTCATCTCTTCAAACACCATTGTTCCATTGTTTTTTCTATTTCGAATTCTTGGAACGAAACAGTTTACTTCAAATTATGATCGAGATTTTGAAGAGTTCATTGTAAAGAGTTGAAATTACGCTAATATAATATCTCTCGATCTTGCGCCTGTTCAGGTGTGGTTCCAAAACGCGCGCGCGAAATGGCGACGGAACCTGATGCGGCAGGACGGTAGCAACACCGGTAGCAACGTCGGCTGCTCCGGCACGGCGGTGTCCTCCAGCACCGGCAATTCCCCAAACGTCGGGCCGGCCGCCAGCATGCTCGGCGACAGCAACAGCATGCCCTCGACCTCGATGGAGGAGTTGCACGCCCTTCATCATCTGCACTCAGGCGTCTCCTCTCAGGTCTCCTTCTCCGACCTCTACTGACGACGGCTTGAGATGGAAGAGGACGCTTACAGTAGCCTCTCCGGCCATCTTGGATGAGAGATTATCGCGCGCTTCCTCGCGAATCGACCCCCGTGGAGGAACTCGGCGAGTCGGCGACACGCGCCCGTTGCGGCCTCGGCAAGAAGTCTCGCCGACGAACGCCGACGTTGCTGACAGCGGTTGTTTAAATCTGGTATTTCTTTCCGAAGGTCCAGAGTGTTAAGCCCGTGGTAGTCTTGTTGAAAACAATTACTTGAATTTCACGGAAGCCGAAGCAGAGTTTGATCTCGTGCGAGAAATGAGACTTTGGTTCGCGCGAGATCGGTCAGGATTAAATGTCCGACCCCTTCTTCAAGATTTGTGACAAATATGTGTCGGACTTAAACGAAGGCGGTGACTCGTCGGAGGACTTTCTCGAAGGCAGAGAGCCTAGTCAGGTAGAAACTATAGCGGGTAACTTCGAGGACGATTATACGATTAAATAATCAGTGATAATAATCATAGTTCCATGCACATCCGAATTACCAAAGATTACTAGACGAGAATTAGTAATAATGTAATCTAGGTACGTATGCAAAGAGGGTGTATCATTATAGCGATTATTGTATCGATAATTAACGACGGAATTTCGAGCACTATTCAACACTGTGGAACATATGGGGTGTTCCAGAAAGATGTATACCGGATATGTGATGGCACACACGTGTCTACAAAAACTTGAAAGAACTCCTTCTTAACAAACTTTTAATACAAGTAGTTACATTTATAATTTAAATATTACGCGTGTTTGAAACTTGAAACAATTAAAAAGTTAAGCATTTCTAATCATGTTTTTACATTTTTGATGTAACGTTTGAGCATTTCTAAAAATTTGAAAATTTAGACGTGTAAGAGTGAAAACATTGTTGAAAAAATCATTTAAACAATTAATTTACCAATTTTAAAAAATATGTAAATATTTTTAGACATTTCCAAGTAGTTGTGAGATATAGACATTTTAATATGTCTAATGATTATCGGTGTTTTTATAATATTTGAAAATCTCCATCAGTTTTAAGATAAACGCACGATCAATTTTTTGAACATTTTTTGTCCAAATTGTGTATTTGAAATTCCATGAGAGATGTCTATCAATGCTTTCCAGTTAAAACGTCGTATGCAACTGTTTAGAACACCCTATACGATGTCGCAAGGGCCGCTGAATTAAATGAGGACTCGTCCATGCGGACGGACACGTACATTATATGTGCAATCACGTAGGGAAATTATTTAATTTGTCCTCGTTAATTTTATACGAGACTTTGTGAGCGGCTAACTTGAATCGGCTTCGCGCCATTATCAATTGGCGAAAGTTAATCAGTTAAATTCCCGTTAATTAAATTTACAATTACACGATGATAATTTATAACGATCGCCAATATGTCAGCGCAGTAAATTTTGTACTAAACATCATATAATAAAGATGATATAATTCTTGCGAATTTGTCGTTGTTTAACGACAGAAGTCGCAAGAGGGAATTGAATCTGACGACCAAAACTATGCGAAGCTCGATAAAGATTTAGGCGAATGTTCATGAATTTTGTATTAGCGGCGTAAAATCATACGAAAGTTTTTCTTAAAAAAAAAAAAGAAGAAAGATAAGAAAAAACGGCGTTCCTCTGCTCGTGCCAAAAAAACTTAGCTAAGGAAGAAAAATTTTTTAACGAGCTGCTGGAATTCAAAGGGCATAATATATTTTTGCAAACCGCGGTCCGGATTACCGCGTGCCATTTCGGAGGACGAAAGATTACAAAGCCTTGATCACAAGCCTTTCAACATTATGCGTTCTTGCATTCACGTTTCCCCTCCAAATTGTCATCTTTGAATTCGAGCAGTACGAGTCGCGCGCACGTACACGCGCACGCATACACGCGCGGCTTTGACGCAATCCCGCGCACGTGGTTGCGTAATGAAGATTAGATTGTCGCGAGTTCGCGAAACTTTAATCAAGTTGAACCACACGGGCACACATACAGCGTTATACAGGAAACTACTCGTTTAATATTAATTTCGAATTTTTCTTCAATTTTATATTCAACGTACTATTTTCAATATTTTGAAATACGTGAAGTTTGAAACATTGGGATTAAATTAAGTTAATCATGTGTTGATGATCTCTTCTTGCGGAATTCGTACGTTGATTAACCTTTTTTTTTTATCGTAGATAAACGAATCTTTATTTCTCATCTAAATTTTAACGTTTAATCTGAAACTGTATTTGAGAGGCTAGGTGTTTGAGGGACAAGGTTTTACGAAAAACTTTGGGGTGCTGAGAGCTTCAACGTGGCAATTTAATTACACGGCCTGCAATGTCTAAACATTAATTTAATAAGAAACTTAATAAAGTTCACGTACTTTTGCAAAAGTTAGCAACATTCCAACATTGAGAAGAAAACATACACATTATATTGTTTCCTACGTATTTGTAGACCGCGATATTTATTTTCTTCATTATGAAATAAAGTGAGTCCAAACACTTTACGGGCATCCTTTACGACGTATCTTGTCACGTAATGCTCGGCAGGGAAAATCGATAGGTCGCACGTTAGGTATGTGTAGCATAGCGATCATTAAGCGTACATGTTTAAAGAGCGAAGCAATTATTTCCAACTCTATAGACAAATTAATGTGCTACATTCGAGTGCTACTATTATCGCATAATAAATGGTTACGTACGTCTCGAGTCAGACGCAACTTGCTTCCTTTCTTTAATTTGCTGCACCTTCTCTGTCTAAAAATAGATTGTACGGGAAAGAGGTAAGTTCGTGTGATCCAATTAGTACAAAATTTAACACGAGACATTCACGCTTCTCTAATGAAGCGCGATGATTACTTTAAGCCTTTTGCGAATTAGCTTTACATATTTTGCATACAGTTTCGACTTGACAGTATGTTGAAACTTATGAAATAAAATTCGAAATTCTTCAGTTTTATTATCCACATTTATATTGTATTTATATTTTCGAATTGAAAAATTTGCAGCACTCAAAGAAATGTCGCGTAATAGCTACGTGAGTGACAATTACATTGGTGACGAGTTTTATATGTGGAATTAATGTACCTTGTTAAATAAACTAATGTATATAGTAAACTGTTTTATAGTTGCAAAATAATTGTAAAATAATTATAATTTATTCAACTACTTATATTAATTCTAAACATAAAAAACTTGTACATTTGTCATGATTATATCTTTTTATTAATGAAGCATCTATAGATCGAAGATTGAACATATCCATGGATATTTTAATTGAATTTTTTTTTATTTAAAGATTAAAATTTTTTAAATTATAGAATTCTTTCTCTCTCTCTCTCTCTCTCTCTCTCTCAGATTTTGTCTTTCGAATTAAATCGGATTCAAGTTTCAACTAAACGTGGTAGGTCGAATATCTGCGAAATTTCAAAGAGCTTTACGCTGACAATCGGAGAGACTTGGAAGGTACGAACACCTCCTAGTTCGAAGTTGAGAAGATTCAATCCTGATGCCTCACACCGACGACACGTTTCATCATCCATCATCCATCATACGTCCCATGAGCACACCATTAAACTTTCTCGCTGCACGCGAGCGCGCGTTTACCGGTCTCTCGCGGGGCGCAAGTGCAAGTTGTAATTAGCATCAAATTAGGTATTTAAGGATTTCACGTTCAGGTTAGAAGCGGACAAGTCGAAAGTAAGATACGACGACGACGAGGAAGAAGAAGCAGAAGAAGAAGAAGAAGAAGAAGAAGAAGAGGAAGAAGACAAAGCAGAAGAAGCAGAAGAGAAAGAAGAAGAAAGGGTAGAAGGGGGGGGGGGACGGGAGGGTTCTACTTAGGGGTTATACCAACATAGCCGAGCCCTCGTGTAAATTGTAGACCTCTTGAGTCGTATAAGTGCACCGCATGCCGTATATATTTTGTCGGCGCTCATATAAGTTAATTTTCAATCTATATGCGGGTTCCCTCGGATGGCGCGCGGCGACTCATCAACGAAATGAAGAAATTGAGACTCTCGTTAATATTTAATGAGCAGGGGCGAGCGCGAGCGCGAGCGAGCGAGCGAGCGAGCGAACGCGGATACAATGGCCGTCGGTCCTCGGGGCCCGACGTCGGTGGACCTCGAAATATCACCTCTCCGAGTCGCGTCGCGCATTTACATGCGCACGAGCTCGTCGGCGGACTTTCTCTCTCTCTCTCTCTCGGCGGAGAGAGAGAGAGAGAGAGAGAGAGAGAGAGAGAGACTTGAGAGCGAATAAGAAGTTTCGGCCGTATCCCGTGTGTTCCCGCGCTGTGTATTTTCTCCCGGCCGAAGGGAGCCTTCTTATACGGTGCCGCAACACGGCAGGGGCGCGCGGAAGGCTCGCGCTTCTCCTTTTTCGACCGGCGATCGTGAAATATAAGCGATTGGAGCGTTCTGCCGATTCTCTCCCTCCCCCCTCCCCCGACCCCTCCCCCCCTTTCCCGGCCCATCTTGGCTTTGTTCGAAACGAATATCTCGTTGTCTCCTCGTTGACAGCAGAAATATTTGTACGCTCGATATCGCGGGAGATGCATGTGGATGCGCTTCTTTTATTTTAACGACGCATTTCAACGTGCCTGACTGAAGGTTGCGCCTGGACGAAGCGTATACGCTCTCGACTGACGCTCTCGCATTAATGTAAATTACGAAGAAAAGTGCTGTTCCAACATTCATCTGGAAAGATATTGAAATAGCGAGCGACGTAAATTATCAGAAACACGATCCTTAATTTCTAAACCATTTTATGAAATAAAAATATTGAAATATATATTATATGTAAGTTGTAATGGCTCTGAGAGAAAAGCATAGTGATAACAATTAGAAAATATTTATAAATATTTGCGGGGTACAAATAGCTCAGTGTGTAAGCATGTTGATTCGTAACTCGATGATCCCGAGTTTGAATCCTCACGTCCCACATATCGCCTCGATTTTACGAGGTTATTAGAAATGTAATGTA